TCTCTACCATTTTTTTTAATACTGGTAATTAAAAAATTAATTTGGTATAATAACCATCAATTTACATATGTTATTCTAAATGGTCAAACCTTATTCTCTGCACATATTGCTAATCTGTTATTGTTTGCTATCCAATGTCGACCAGACGAGGATGGGTTCTCCTTTTGAGTCTTGGTTCCTCTCAGGGTTTCTTCCTCTTGCTCTTAGGGAGTTTTTCCCTGCCACTGTTGCCATTAGCGACGCTCATGGGGGCTCGGACCTCGATTTTTCTGTAAAGTTGCTTTGTGACAACACCTGTTGTAAAAAGTGCTGTTATAAATAAACTTTGACTTGTATACCTCCACAACCCTACTCACACAGAGGTGCTCAGTGTGGAAAAAAGGACTGTCTGACTAGCGGGACAGAGCTGGTATTGTAGTAATTTCAGAGAAGGAGAAGAGATCAACACTCCAACCTTCTGAAAAGCCATTTTGTGCTCAGAGCAAAATCACGCTGCTCCACTCCCCACTCAGTTGTAGACACCAGGTTTGGGATAGCTACTGAAAAATTAGTAGTTAGCTACTTTGTAGCTACTTTCCCAAAATGTGTAGCTGCTACAATTTAGCTACTTTTCCAGAAAAAGTAGTGGCTATTTTTTAGCTCCTTTTTGAAAAGTAGTGCATTATTTTTAGCTACTTTCAAAGCGCGATTGTCAAAATGTTTGTGGATCTCCACCTGACACACCAAACAAGCCCCACTGATAGTGGGAACACGACACTGCATTTAGTCATGAGCCAGAAAGAAACATCAATTGAAAAGCTGCAAATATACAAAAGGATCACCAAAAAGTAAGTTTGGGTGTAACCAACAATCAAACTTACACAACCAAAGGTGTGATATCCAACTAAAATTTAGACTAAAGGCAAAGTAAAGAGTCAGTCATTCCAGGTTTTTCCTTACAGAAATCAACAAAAATAACCAAATACAAACCAAACAGTTTTGCGCAAAGAATTGTCAACTGTTGAAATAAAACTGCTCCAATTTAAACATTTCAGCAAGATACGGACATGACACTCAGAGTCCTTTAGCCTCAAAATCCTCATCAGTGACTCTGGCTTTGTTTGAGGTGAGATTCAGGCCTGAATAACCTCTCCACTGCTGCAGAGCTGCTGCAGCTCCACAGCAGAACTAGATTTTTAGGTAAAATAACATTATAATCCTCCTTTACTGTAAAATTGCTATAACACACAATTCTAACACAGTTTTCACAATAAATGGTCTTAAAAGCTGAAGTTAACGTAGAACTGCTAATTCAACACCTTAAAACTGAAGAAATGCTCATTATGTCAGATTTGGCAGACGTGGAATATAGTACAAAAGTAGCGCGCTACTTAGCTACTCCCCCATCCCTGGTAGACACAAGCTCAGCTTCGCTGCACAGATTGGTTCAGGCGGATTGCTGCATAAAAGATGCCGCAAGTTCATGTAGGAGTACATCTTCACAACTTTATGGGTCTGTTGTATGAAAGATGAGGCCTCTGCACTGCTGGGAATTAGCTTTGACTCTGTTTGGAAGAAGTGAGGAAAAAGAGTGGTTTCTATTAGAGGTGGTTCTACCTGAGTGGATTTTATTCCGTAGCCTTCCTGCTGCACTCCGTCTCATTCTTATTCTCCTCTGCTTCGCTTTGCTGCGTCCCTGTCTGTACTGCGGCGCTCCCATCTCCTCCCTCATCTCCTTCTTGATTTTATCGGTTATATTCTTCCTCTGATTCCCTCCACTGCTGTCTCATCCTGCAAGATCTCTTCAAGCCATGGATTGTTTCCCCCCCCAAATTCTGACGGAAGTGCACGCTGAGGCACAGACACGTGAACGCACATACAGACAGAGCTGACTATTTACAGCAGAAATGTCAAAGAGAGCCGAAGTAAATTTGCCTTCGCTGTCGAATCTCACTCTCCGTCCTTTTCTCTCTCTTTTCTATCTCTCTCTCTGCTCGAGTTGGAGAAATGTCATCGATAGGTTAACAGAGTTCACAGGCCACTACAGAGAAGGCCATTTGCGTGAGTTCCATTACTGAGTAGAGTCTCAAAGGGGAACTTCACTGATTTTTCTAAAGTTCTGGTTAAGAATTCAAAGTCATTCAGAGCGGTTTGGTGTGAAACGCTCTGCTCTAGATAAACTTACCTGAGTCAGGATTGTTTACAGTGGTGGTGATAGGAACCAGACACCCACCTCTAAAAGCTCCCTTACAGAAAGTTACTACAGAGATGGGTATGAATTCAGCACATGAAGCCTGAGACATTGTCTTACAATAGCTTTGCGAATAGCTTTTAGCCCAATCCGTGTGTTTGTTTCATTCTATTCATGGTGGAGGGGTACATGCAGGGCGTTGTGAGACAAAATAGTCCCCCCCCAAAAAAAGAAAATTTTCAGATTTATCTTCATACACTTTATCTATAGAGCCCCTGAAGGCGCGTGTGGATCCACTGGCCATTTCGGATAGTAAATAAAATGGCTATATATGGGTGTAGACATGGCAACCCCCCTAAGGAAGCACACTTCAGATACCAAACATGTCTTGGCTGATGGACTAATGGGGGAAAATTGTCTTGATTTTTGACCAAACTGTTCCTTTAAGCACAGACTTTGCCTGTTTATATAAAGCCATGCTCGCTCTTTTTCTCTGTGTCTCTCTTTCCTTCTCTTCTCCACACTGTGACCTCGATACAGAAGAATTGATTCATGCTTATAGTAACAATGAGGCAGTACATCCTGACTGCAGACCTCTCTCTCTCTCTCTCTCTCTCTCTCTCTCTCTGGTGCTGTAACTCTGTTTCTCTCCCGGTCAGCAGTTTCTTACATTTCTGCAGGCCCCTCTTGCTACAGCAACTGCTCCACTTTTACCGCTAATACATCAGAGCTAAATAAATCTCGGTGGCATGTTACGAGTTTGCTGTTTCTGCTAATAACACAAGATTGCTGGAAAATGTGCTGCAGTACATTACTGTATATTACAGTATAATGAAGCAATAAAAAGCAATGTTCTTTCGTATTACAGTAGCTGTGGTGTAGTATGGTTAACGAATAAAGCTGAGACTAAAGGGCAGGAACGCTGTGTTTGCCAGTGAATTTTCTCAAGTGACATTACATTCATGTCAAAGATATTCACCATGGGCGATTTTGTGTCGAAGACTTCCAGGGCAAAGAAACTTTGTATTGAGTTTATCTTTGGAGAACTTCGCATCCTCGAATTAATAACGCTACAGCTTTGACCTCTGAAGGCCCTTCATAGCAGTGAACCTGTAAAACAGAGGAAATGCTTGTTTATAGGTGCAATGTGTGAGATTTGGCAGAAGTGGAATATAGTACATCCCCAATTCCAATAAAGTTGAGACGCTGTGTAAAATGTAAATAAATGTAAATAAAATCAGAATGCAATGATTTTCAAATCTCATAGACCCATATTTTATTCACAATAAAACATCTGCAACTTTTCTGAGATGCGTTGCTGCCATCAAGTTCTAAATAAGTTAATGTTTTTTCATGACGTGGTAAAATGTCTCACTTTCAACATCTGATATGTGTTCTATGTTCTATTGTGAGTAAAATAGGGGTCGATGAGGTTTGCAAATCATTTTTTTTTATATTTTACACTGCGTCCCAACTTTTTTTGAATTGGGGTTGTGTACAAAACCATGTTTTCGGTACTGACACAACACCTAAAACTATGAGTCGTGTTCCCGTTAGCGTAGAATGAGCCCTTCATATCTACGTAGGGAGCAGGTCCTCTTACAGGGTCATACTTATTACTTAAGTAAAAGCAAGGGAGGGTGAACCCTCATCAGGAACTCGCCTATTTTCTGCTGGACAGGTAATTTAGCGGGTGCCAATCTAAATGCAATGCACCTGACAGCATCCACCGTAAGTTCTACTGCACGCTTGGAAATGGAGGGGTGAGGGAGTTGGCTGCAATCTGCAGCCTCACCACTAGATGCCACTAAATCTTACACACTGCATCTTTCTAGTGTAAGCATGAACGTTTTACTGTTTCTTCACCCTCTGACTAAACAAAAACACATGAGAGTCCACATTATAAGCCAACGGGCTGCAAACTGTATTACAGTCTTGACTATTGTGGTTTTACTGTTTGTTTTAGATGAGTTGGGAAGCTTTCTGCATGCATCTCACTCTACTGCCTACAGCTATGAGAAACATCTACACTTTTTTTACTACAGATCATATGTGCTGTGGTGAACCTATAGTTTTCTGTGTTTGTACTGTTTGTAGTAGGTGAGCTAGCCATCTTACTAACTGCTATGTTAGCTCCTTGGCTAATTGGAGCTGCACAGAAGTACCCCAACTATTGCCAACTAGACCATTTATCTACATTTTTTGGTACGACTCTGTGTGCGACAATATATCTAATTATCTGATGTAATTGTCACTTTTGTCTTTCACTTTTTATGGTTAGCGAGTGAGCTAGCTTGCTAGCTGCACCAACATGGAGGATTCCTTTTTTGTTGACAGTCTTCCAGGCCAGCTTTGCTCACTGATTTCATTACTGTGGTGTTATTAATTCCTGTTGTTTGATATTGTTTGCAGTGTAGTGGCCTGAAAGTGAAAACTGAGTAGACGAAGACTCTGCTGGTTCATCACTGAGACACAGTAGAGCTTTATTAGCTCTGATTCTACACACTTAATGTTGATTTAATTCAGTTTGGTTCAATTCAGGGTGCTCTACTGGTAAATTTGGTTCTATGAAATTGTATTTAATATTCATTAGTGATGCACAATATAATGTTTATTCCCTCTCTCTCTGTCTCTCTCTCTCTCTCTCTCTCTCTCTCAGTTCGGTCTCTTCAGTTCTGGCTGCTTTATTGACATGACAAATAATCAATATTTTGTACTCCCAGTGCTTGAGTTCCAAAAATCTATATACAATTATCCATTATTAATGTAATTCTCTCTCTCTCTCTCTCTCTCTCTCTCTCTCTCTCTCTCTCTCTCTCTCTCCATATAGGAACCTTGGGAAGTCTGGATTGAGAGTATCTTGTCTAGGCCTTGGTGAGCACTCTTTTCTTTTCACACACTGTTGGAAAAAGCATGTTGTACAATATAAATGAACCCTCAACAATAGTACAATAATAGTGCAGGGAATTCCAGTTCAGTTCAGTTCAGAATACTTTATGAATTCCAAAAAGGACAATTTATTTGCAGCTTTCCCCGTCCATACGCACAACTAAACATATATATATATATATATATATATATATATATATATGTATATACATAGACACATACATATACATATATACATACATCCATATCCACATACATAGAGAAATAAATCGTCACTGCAAGGAGACAACGAATAGCTATAACAATCATTTAAAAAGACTATTATCCACATTTAGTAGCTTGATAGCAGAAGGAATTAAAGACTTGGAATAGCCATTTGTTCTGCTGAGGGGCGCGATGTAACGCTGACCTGACGGCATTACAGTGAATTCGCTGGACAAAATATGATCAGATTGGGTGATAATTCCTTCGGCTTTCTGAGCCACTTGTTTCTCCCACAGGGAGCCCAGGTCTCTCTGTTGGACTCCAATTATCTTGGAACAGATTTTTACAATACCATTCAGGCTATTCTTGTCCCTCACCAACAGCCCATTAAACCAACAAATAAATGAGAAAGTTAAAACACTTTCAATAAATGACTTATAAAAACTGCACAACACTGTATTACAAACATGAAACGAATTCAGCTCACGCAGTAAATGAGTTCTTTGTTGACCCTTCTTAACAACCAGCTCTGTGTTTGCATCAGATTTAAGTTGGGAGTCAAATACTGTTCCTAAGTACTTATGTGTCCATAATTCGTACCTCTTTTCCATGTATCATACTAGCTTTTGGTTCCTTTTTATTTTGCCTGAAATCAATGATTAATTCCTTAGTTTTTGACACATTAAGGTCAAGAAAGTTCTCATCACGCCACGTAACAAACATTCCACCCATTTTTTGGAATTCAAGCATAATTCTATCGTTTCTAATAAGAGGGATTGATATGAAATGGTTCTCTGCAGAGACACTTACCAGCTCAGATTTCTTTATGGGGTGCCGATAGAAACCAGGGTGACAATGTCTACAACACAAACTCATTTTTTTAACCAAATTCATTAGGAGGTCCTGGACTCCCCCTGTATTTCACACCTTGGTACCTGTAAGGCCTTTACACAAGAAGTATAATTTTTCATACCAAAAGAATGGATATGATTTTTTAACATAATGGGACCATCACACTAAGTCCGGTGCCTTTTATTCTCTCAGCACTTGGAAAATGCAGTATTTCTTGATTAGCAGTGATGATGAAATGATCAAACATTTTGCTGCCATTGAAGCTAGATTAGTGCCGCAATGGCAAATGAGATGCCCAGGGGGTATGTCGCACACTGCTGAGGACGTACCCTTGAGGGTCCCACCCCGGTGACAGCGATTGTACCCAGAACAGTACAGTTTAGTACCTGTTTTTCTGAGAGTGGAGCTTCTGCACAGCCTCAAACAGAATAATCCATAAACCTGCATTGTTGTATTGGTGGAGGATTTGTAGTATTGTGACTAGATCAGTCGTAGACACTGTCTCTCTCTCTCTCTCTCTCTCTCTCCCTCTCTCCCTCCCTGTTGTTGCCTGTGTGTTTACCCCTGTGCAGGCTTTTGTGAAGCTTATTTCATTCAGTCTCTGTGTAATAACCTGTCTAAAAGTTCCGTCACTCAGAGCCTCGAGCCTGCAGGCTTACAAACACACAAACACACACAAAGCCGAGGGCTGTGATTGCAACAGATCAGTTGTTTTGTAGCTTTTCCTTTTTTGTAACATTTCAAACGTCTGGGAAGCAGGGAACACACACACACCTGCTCTTTCACAGATTATTAATGGGTGAAATGAGCACAGGAGTACGCTACAGCTGGCGGTGGAGTCTGGGTCTGTATGGCAGCACGACTGCTGGGAGTGTGTGGATACACAAACCTCAGTTCCACAAAGTTAGGATACTATGTGAAATGAATGAATAAAAACAAAAAGTAAAGATTAGTTCAGTTTAATCTATATTTGAATTACATGAAAACAGTACAAAGACAGGGTGTTTTATCTTATTCATTGTGTTTTGTAAATTTATGCTCATTGTAAAGTTGTTGCCTGAAACACATTCCCAAAAGAGGGGCAGTTTGAGACTAGGAACTAAGGGTTGCATGACCTTTTAAAGTCAACAGTTATGTGATGAAGGTTGTGTCGATGTTGACTAATTGTTGATGATGTAATCAATAAAACCACAGGTGAAGGGAATGCTTTGCAACATGCGGCTCAAAGCGCTGGCCCTATCATCAGGAGAGTTTGATCCCTGGTGATGTTACAGCCATCCGTGGCTGGGAGTCCAAGAAAGCACAATTGGCCCTGCTGGCCCCCTCCCCCCCTCCCCCCATCACTCAATGCGATGCTAGTCAGCGCAGCCGTCTGTCAGCTCAGAGCGTGTTCGGCCGTCCAATGAGCGGCAGTTCAAAAAGATGCGGTGGCGCTTCACAGGTCTCGGAGGAAGCCTGTGCTGCCTTCGCCCTCCTAACACTGGTAGTATTGTGTGACTGGTGGGGTCCTAACTAGTGGGTGGAATTAGAGACTAAACTGGGGAGAAAATTGGGGAAAAATAAAAAAAATCTGACTTTAAAAATTCATGACACAGCCAAACGCCACAGGTCAGTACAGCGTGACATGCCCTTCCCAACGAGCCCTGGATTGCATTGCTAGCCTTCAGCGAAACCAGAGATACGAACCCAAGAATCTCGGAAATTTGTGTCCGACTAACGTGCAACCTAGACGGCCTTGCCAAGCTTCAATGCACCCCCTCAAGTTAAACTCCTGTCATCAGATTGTAAATTCAAAATTCATGTTTTTCTTGTTTTTTTTTGCTCAACTGTTTTACCCAATTTGGCGCCCATGAATTTAATAGATTAATATGTAGTAAATGAAATAAACGTGTCTGCTAGTTACAGCCTCTCGTCCAATCCAGGCCACTCATATGTTTGCTGTTTTATGGGAAGAGAAACACTGATGTGTGTGTGTTTGTGTGTGTGTGTGTGTGTGTGTGTGTGTGTGTGTGTGTGTGTATGTGACCTGAGCTGACTGAGCTCATGTCCCATTGGCTGTAATGGGTGCATTTAGCTCTGAGAGTATGGGACAGTGATGGAGGAGCCTGGGGTCAGGCATACTGCCATAACAACAACACAACACAAGCATCACTTACATAACCCTCCGTACCCACAATATCACCCTGGAGAGAGACAGGAAAAGACAGGATGGGGAGAAGTGAGGAGAGAGACAAAGAGAGAGTTTAACCCTTAGGAGTCTACAGTTGTTATAGTCATTTTGTTATAGATTTTATTTCCATTACATAATTATTTATGCAGTTGAAAACGTAGAAATAGCACCACGGACAGAATTCTTATGCTTGTCCCAATGAACCAGTGCTAGTGAACACATGATACACACATGTACCAACCCTGAATCCTCAGAAATGGAGTGCAGCTCGAGCCTTAAGCAGGCGTTGCATTGCATAAAAGTAATCACTACTTAAACCCTGTCAGGTTCAACACAGCTTCAAATAACTAAATAAGGCTTTCAGTGTAGAAAAACCTGAGGTCTGAATTACAAAACCAGTAAAGTGTTTAACAGAAAGAGGCCGAACAACTTGAGATGGTTGGTTACTCTGCTGAGAAAACAGCACAGACCAGCAAGCATCTCATGCTGGTCTAAGCTTGTCTATGCTGGTTCAGCTGGTCACCCCAGCATAGTCACTCTGCTTGACCAGTATACCTGCATCCAAACACAACATATGCTAGTTTTGCTGGTGACCAGCTATGCTGGTCTATGCTATATTTTCTAGAAGGGTGGCCTGTAATCTGTACTGAACCTGTGCTGGCTAGCTAGCATAATAGCTAATCCAGTTGTAGTTCTATTAAGGATTGTGATCTGTAATGCACTAAAACTTCAGCTAGTATAGCTAACATCGGCTAAATTAGCTATAGTGCTTGCTGGCATACTTTCTAGCCGACTGTTTTAAGTTGCTTTTGCCTCTTTTCTTCTAACACCACATTTACTGCATGTAGCACTTAGTTCTGTCAATCCAACCTGAGTTTTTTTTTCCCCATAATAAAAAGTAGTACTGTAGTACTCGAGTCCGGTCTCAAGACCATAGACTAGCAGCCTTGGTCTCGTCTCTGTCTCAACATCACTTGTCTTGGAAATTGGAAATTGTTGTCAAGACAGACTGATTGGGATGCCTTCGTCTGAGTTGACTGGAAGCTCAGATATTATTGAATATCAACAAAACCAGAATAAACAGGATAAAACAGCCTCTTATCTACATCAGGGGTTCCCATACTTTTGCAACTCACAGCCCACCCAAAGACCACAAAAGCTTCCTCAGATTTAACTGATCAGATCGACTATTCCTGACTCACCTAATGAGAAGGCTGATTTGGCAGCTACCGAGTGTTGGGTGTCAGGCTGAAGAGAGGAAAGCTGAGAAGTTTTGGTTCATTCCAACAGGTTTAGATACCTATTCGATATGTTTAGGCTCCAAGTGGCAGTGTAAGCTGTTGGGCTTTAAAGGTTCATTTAAAAAGACCCATAAGCAAAGAGCACAGAGCTGTAGTTACTCATTTTCAGTTACTCTTCTTTCAGCTCACAAAGCCCAGAGCTACAGATTCGCTGCTGTATTTCCTATGTTTCGGTTATGCTTGCACTGAAAATATGAACATGAATAGCTAACATTTTGCCAGATGTTTTATTTTTGTAAATGATATTTAAAATTATGTTTGGTTAAATGTTTGTATTGTATTCATTTTTGCATTACGAAAAAAAAAAAAAACTGCAGTATCACCTTTGCCCACTGGGGGGTCACAGCCCACAGGTTGAAAACCTCTGTTGTACAGCTTAAAATTAAATTTCACTGTTTTGGATCTAATTGATGGCTCAACTGAGTTTTATTTGTCTGTTGAAGTTCATTGGCTCCAAA